AATCACAGCATTGATTATAAAATAAATTCATTACCAATAATATAAGGAACATAATACTCATTAAGATTGTAACTAGATAATTACATAAATGTCTTATTTCAAAATTAGAAATTTCAAATTGCATTAAAGATACTTTATTATTAAGATAGTAAAAATGCATACTAATCAAAAACTTACAATACATACTCAACGAGCACAAATACTTTGGAAATATTTAAATTTCCCAATGTAAAAACAAAAAAGAATGAAAAATTAAAAAAGACATTTATTTCGCAATATGGACAACACAGTTTCATTAAATGGCTATTTACAGTGAATCATATCATAATTCATGAAAATGAATTAAAACTTATCTAATGAGATGAAATAAGATATATATTTGAAATAAAATAAAAGACATAAATAAAATAGAAAAAGTAATTGAGAGATGATAATTTTTTTTTAAAGCTTAAAGAATCAAATAATTTCCTTTAAATTCTCAAACTTTAGGCCCATCATCTAAAATTTTAAACTTTAACATTATCTTTTAATTAACATTACAATAGTTTTAAAAACGATTTAACAATAAATGCTTGAAATTAAACTTTTTCAATTTTAAATATTTGCTACTGTACATAAGTATTTTAAAAATAACTATGAATAATAAAATATTTCAATTTGTCAATACATTTTTAAAAACTTTTTCATAAGATTTGCAAACTTCCTAAAATATAATCAAAAAAAGAAGAAAAAAAAGTTAAAAAATGAAAATCAACAAATAATGATGTTGCAAACAGATGTTAAATTAATTTGCACTTATAACAGTAAACTTGAAAATGTTAGCAAAATATTAATTAGGAACTAATTGCACACTTTATAACCAGCGAAATTGAATCCATTATTAGTAAAAGGCATTTCAAACACAATCAATCAAAATTAACATTATCAAATACACAATAAATAAATCTCTTAATAACTACTAAAATAATAATTTAAATTACAGTCAATCAATTTTGTGAAAAAAATATCTTTCTAAATTTCTTTATTTGCCACAAAGAATTAAACAGCCCTAAAAATTGTATCAGCATAATAGAACAATGTTTATACACTTTTTTTTTATCACTCGTGATAAAAATGTAAATGAAGATTTAACTTATTTATAGATTCAACAATAAAATTTATTCCAAATTTTGGCTATTGAAAAATGCTAAACTATTTAACAATTTTGAGGAAGAAAATTAAAATTTCTGAAGAAATAAAACTAATAGCAATTTTTACTAAAATTCAGCAAGATAATGATAAAATAATAATCATTTACAAAAATGTTCTTTTAATAAAAAAAAAAAAAAATACAATTAAATATTAATTAGTCTATAATTAAATTATTTTTTTTAAGAACTGTAAGTTAAAAATATAATCATTAAAAAATAATTAATAATCTTTCAGAAACAACATATTTAAATCACTCTTAAGCTTTCAAAAATAAAAGCATAAATTGTTAAACATTAAGAAAGAAACATATTACATACTTGTATCAGATTATATTTAACTCCTTAATAAAAACAGGTACTGATAGTTTGATTTTTACCTTTATAAAAGCAGGTAATTCATATAACATTTGATTTATATTTGCTCAATAAAATCTGATTTAATGAATATTGTTAGATTTTTATCTCGAAATGCTAATCAGCAAAATATTACATAGCAGTTACTATTATGCAAGTTTCTTTACAGTATCTTTCAAAATTTAAAATTTTAGAAAAACAAAATATTTTATTACCTGGAATATATTATTCCCCAGTAATTTTCTCTCACTAAGTGAAGTATTCAAAAACTATTTGAAAAAGTAAAATATTTTTATAATAGTAACACCATATATTATAATTCAGAAAAATACTGTAACAACAATAATCACATTTACCGTGCTTTTGAAATTCATGTGATTACTAGGCATCAGGGCTCGAAAAAATTTTTACACGTGTTTCGAGGCAAATTAGTCTACAGAATGCATACCTTAATAAAAATTTTATATGCCAGAACATCTTTTTTGATTGCATATTAATAAAAACATACAATGGCAAGTATTATTAATCAGCCCTAAAAATCACAATAACAAGGTTAGATCATCAACCGTTTAAGTATAAATTAGAAGTATTAAGTATTATTATTGGTAAAAAAGTAATATTATCAAAATTAATTAGTATTATAGGCATATGTTTCTAATAATTAATAATTTTGACAATATCACTTCGTTGACAGCAATAATGTGTATTCATTGCCCTTCACTGTACATTGCACAATGCAAATGTACATTGCGCATTGCACTGTACATTGCACAATGCATTGCACAACATAAACATGTTACTTTCACATAATGTAATAAACTTTTATATTACTTTATATTCGGGTTCATAAGTCAGTGATTCCCAACCTTTTCATTGTTGCGGCACACTTTTAACAATTTCGAAATTTGACAGCACACAATGAAAAAAATTAGATTAAAAGTAGTTTAATTACCTATTTTACACTCTGTTAAATAGTTTGTGAAAATAATTTTGAATGTGAAATAAAATAATATATACAACAAAAGCACATTTATTAAGGGATTAATTATTTCTTTTGACCAATTTTTTATTAGTTAGTAACAGTTATTTTTTTGCTAGTCATTAGTTGTTAGGTTGTTTTCTATAATTATTAAGTTATTTTTCGTTATTTCTTGTTAACTAGTTTTTTTGCTAATTATTAATTGTTTGCTTAATTTTTGTTAGTTATCCTTTGTTAATTTGTTTTTTATATATTTGTTTTTTTCAGTTATCCTTTGTTAATTTGTGTATTAATTGTATAGCTTACTTTAATGATTAACTCTTGCAACATTTTTTAAAATTGTGTGTCATACAGTGTAATGCCCCATATCCGGACGTCCCTTTTCCGGAAGGGTCGATTTCCCGGACACTTTTTAACAATCAAAATAAACATTTCTTCAGCTTCTAGAGATCTATGCATTGAACCCATAAATCAACAGAAAAGAGAACAGAAGATCTACTAAGACCATGACGCTCCTCCTCTGGAATGCAGGAAAGAGGGGGGGATTTGTTTTCAAAAGAGCACAACTGAGTCCCCTCCCTCCCCCTTCCTTCCTATGCAACTGGTTAGTAAAAGAGGCATTTCCTGGAACCTTTTTATTTGAGTGTCAGGGGAAGAAGAAATACTGTGAAAAAGGGTAAACACAGCAAATGTTAAAGTGGAGGGGGAATCCCCTTTAGTCACACAAGAAAAAATAAAGAGAACCCAATCAGCATGCCACACCTTTATGCTTGATTGATAGCCAATGATGGGAGAGAAAATAAGAATTTGTCACTACCCCGCCCTCAACTTGAATGACAAGTAAGGAGGAAATGAATTTTTCTTCTCCACCTACCCACCTTAATGAATGACGGTAATTTCCCCTTCTTGCTTGAATCGTTCTAGTTCAAAATGGGGGAGAGAGCAATTAATATTTTCATAACTGAATATTTTTCGTTTTCTATATTTATTTTTAAAATAGCAATATATATTTTTTTTAAATATTTTGTTTATGATTGATTAGATATCATTCTAATACTAAAACATTATTGCCCGAAAAATAATGTTTATTTATTTTCTGCTTCTTAGATTCAGATCATTTTAAGCTTTGTTTACCTTGGAGGTCAATTATACGGAAAAATCAAATATACGGACTTCGGGAAGTCCCGCCGATTCCGGATACGCGACTTTCCACTGTATACAATTTAAACACTTCCATCTTATTTTAAGATTGTCAGAGCCAATACAATCGAAGACAAAGATGTTCACGCGGTTCAAGTGTGGAAAAATTATAAAAAGTATAAATATATATATACACTTTTCTTTAATTTAAACTTTACTCATAATAAAAAAAAGCATTATAATTTATATTGTATCATTTCTAATATTTGGCGGCACACAAAAGTGCCGCGGCACAGTGGTTGAGAATCACTAGCATAAGTCAACCCTCTATTTTTGATAACGGGATGTGGGATGTATAAGATGACCACTGAAAAAACCAAATATGAAACCTTAAAAAAAAAAAAAAAAAACATACACAGTTTAAAATATTTTACATTTTTTTCTATGGTTATGATACTTTTGGCCTCAAAACAAGATGCTATATGAGGCACCCACTATAATAAAGATGCTTTTATTTGAGGATATTTAAAAAAAAGTGTGGAATTATTTTTAAAAAAAAAGTGTGGATGAAGAGGATTTTTCGTGTGACTCAGCAGATGAGAACGTTGGTAGAATCCATTGTCTTCATAGCAAATACCGAGTACTTTTCTAGACTGCCTAAAGAGAATCCAATAATTTGGAAGCTTAAAACAATCTTTCCACAATTGCAACAGGTTTTTTTTAGTTTTTCTCGAAAGTGCAAATTTGTGACATACCCCCTTTCATGATCAATGAAGGTCGGACTTTATTTCTGGTGAAAAAGTCGTCCCCCTGATTTTCATAAAATTTTGACGGTTTGAGAAGTCGACTTATACACCAGGATATATAATTATTTTCTTATGTACAAGCAATATTGGTTAAACCTTTAAAAAATAATTAAAATAATATCTAGGGAAAGTAAAAAACAACAAGCTAACTTTGTTTGATATCACTTAATTACCTCATCGAGTCTACATGTAAATTTGTCAAGATTAGAGAAGTACTTAATCAAGGGAGCAGAATGTATCAGATTGCACAAACAAGGTTCAAGGGAAACACTGAGAGCCATGAGGAAATTTTTGGTCGAATTAAAAAAAAATTAGACAATACTTTTTATTATACAAAAAAGGTGAGTAGCTTTACACTATTTTTATCGGTAAAAAAAAAATTTGTGACAACTTTTACAATTATTAGTTTTAATTTTGATTCTGATTATTTTTAAAGCATATGCCAGTTCATTCAAAAATTGTGTAAAATCAAATAAAAAAATTTTTGTTACAAAAAAACTATCAAAATTTTTTAATAACAAATAATTTTCAATTTTGAAAAATATTTTTTAAAAGTTATAGTGACTAAAAAAAAAATGCTATAATTTTGAGAGAAAAACTGCATTCTGGGGAAATATTAACCTCTGTAAATTTTCTACGCATCTGTGCTCAATTAGCATTTTGCAGCATTTCTGATTTTAAACTTACATGCCTTGAGCAATATAATTTCCGAGCCCTGCTGTGCATCACATTTTATCTGAGAAATATGTATGAATATATATGCAATAAAATATCTATTTGATTGGATTATAAGCACCGTTCTCATCAAAATCATTCCAGAATAGTTCTCTCTTCAACGTTTCGAGTGTAACGAGAATATCAGAGAAAGATGGACGAGCGTGGGAGTCTGCCATCCAACAGTGTTTCATCAGGGTATAAACCTGGGCAGGACAATTCTTGGGATATTCAAGCCGCTTGCCTTCTGCCAAATATTGTCCCAAATCTTTATCATCAATACCTTTGCCTTCTTCGTCTTTAATTTGGGCGTTAGATCCATGTGTGAACATCTCCCAAAGTGTGATTCCAAAACTCCAAACATCAGATTTATGAGAGAACTTACCCTGAAGAACGCTTTCAATTGCATACCTAGTGAAACAAACGTAAAAATACTAAAAAAGTTGCAGTTTAAGCAGTTTTTTCAACATGACATCATAATTCCAAAATTTTTATTACGGTAATAATATATAATCGCAAAAATCTGGCGATGTCGAAGTACAGACCCAAAATTAAAGGATGCATTTGATTACATCATAAGCCCATGTGGGGTTTTGTTTCCTATTATTTTACAATTATTCTACATATTTTTACATGGCTTTTAAAATCTCAATGTTTTAATACATTATGACAGGCCTGTTTTGAGTCATATTGTTATCGTTTCACTCGTTTAAACATGGTTAAACCATAAATTCATGGTGTTATTCATTTTTTTAATACAATGTAGAGGATTTGCTACACACTTTTTAAAATGTTAACGTTTTTTTTATAGAATACTGCTACAACATTCAAATTATGAATTTAGATAATAACTTTTTAATGTGTTCGATTTCATCCCAAACACAGATGGTTTTTCTAGCATTGCGACAGATACCTACATAGTTTTAAAAACTCAATATTTTTAATATGACTCTTGAAATCGAATCATACGTTCAATTATTTAGTTTTTAGCATGTCACCCCATTCCCAATCCTAAATTTATATGGTCCTTTCAAACCTCTTTGGGCAGTAATTGCTACATATTTTTCTAAAACCCTGTTGCTTTTAAGAATACAATAGTATTATGAGACATGAATTTGAGTAAAAACAATTTGACATGCTCAATTTCATAATATTAACAGATGGTTTTAAACTTAATGATTTAATACAATATTATAATAACACAAGAATTTCCATATCTTAGCTTGAATTCAAAAAGATTTAACTAACCTTTTTATCATATTGAGTTTAAAAAAATTGTCTAGATTTTGGAGATTTCCAGATTTGAGAAGTCTGAAATTTCAATGTTAGACTGTACTTGAAAAGTCAATGTTCATTAAAATAATAGGTCTTAAAAAATAATTCTAAGCATATTTTAAGTTAAAAAAGGGTTGATAACTTTCAAAAAAGAAATGAAAACGTAAGAATTACATAAAATAAATTACCAACGTAATGGTAAACTTCTATCCGTTTTCAACTTATAATAGTGATTCTCAGTGATTTGAGCCAGACCAAAATCACTTATCTTTACATGATCTTCTGAGGCTACAAGAACATTTCGTGCGGCTAGATCTCTGTGAACAATATTATTACTCTCCAGATAACGCATACCCTAGGAAAAAAAATAAACAATGCAAGTTAATATTAAAAATTTTGGCAGCTAAGCAATATAAACAATAATATTAAAATAATTTTAAAGGGCCACAAAGAGGGAGTTGGATTAAATTTTCAAGGGCAGAAAATATTTGCTATTATACATATCACTACAAAATGATTTTTTGATAAAATTTTTCAAATGAACTAAATGAAAATTTACCTTAAAATAAAATGAATTAGCATGTTTCAATATTATGGATAGTCAACACATTATGAGTAGTTTTCCCCCAATTCAACAATTATTTATTCATGGTATAAATTAAAATATGGATATTACACTTCAACCATTGAAACTGTTTTACTTTAATGCTAAAAGATAGGAATATTCTTGGGTAATATGCTAAAAGTAACCTTCAGGAAAACTTACAAATTATTATAATATAATAATTTGCAAAACAACTTAATAAGTTTTATCTTATAAAGAAAAAAAGTTTGAAAGTTACTATATTCACATTGCTTGAAAAAAATCAGTCTGCAAATGAAGTATATCTACAATTTTAAAATTATCAATGTTAAATAATAGTTTTAATACTGACAATAACAATAGTTAATATTAACAATAGTCAATACTGAAATAACAGTAAACTCTTAATAAATTGAATTAGATGGCAGGAACCTTGTCCCAAATAAATGAATATCCTGGATAAGTTAAAATCATAGAGTAAAGCTATGCCCAGAATTTAAGGTAATTTTGATAAAAAATTTAAAACCATAAAATTATACTGTAAGAAAATAATAGTTTAATAAATACAAAAGGAGAGATTGAACATAAATGTCAAAGTAATATTTAGATTCACAATTATAGGAAAGTAAAATATAAAAATAAATAAATGAAAATAGAAATGTAGTTCACATTAGTGTTTTGTGAAGAATTAAATGATAGTAGTCTGTTTTTTATTTGTTTTCTAAAAATCTCATAAAAATAAAACTTCACCTAATTGGGGTCTAAGATTAACAACGAAAACGACACTACACAAGAAATACACACGAGAATCACAATGGCCAATAAGTGTTTTTATGGTCTAAGAAAATATCTTAAGTCAAGCCTAATAATGTCTTATACGATCAGTGCTTACATATGCATGTGAGACCTGGACAATGACCCGTGGAGATGAAGATATGATAGCTAGATTTGAGAGAAAGATACTGCGAAGCATTTTTGGTGGAATAAGTAAAAACGGTACCTGGTTTAGAGGATCAAATTTTACAAGGCATATAAAGAACCTGATGTCATTAAATTTATCAAAATTCAAAGGATTAAATGGGCAGGCCACAATATAAGAATGGAGGATAGCAGGACAACCAAAAAAGTTTTCAGTGCCAGGCCAACAGGTACAAGAAGAAGAGGACGGCCAAACCTAAGATTTTTAGACTGCCTTGAAAAGGACCTACAAGTTTTAAAGATAATAAACTGGAGAACCTTGGCTAAGGGAAGAATATCTTGGCATAGGCATGTCGAGAAGGCCAAGGCCCATCCTGAGCTGTCGTGCCAATGAGAAGAAGAAAACTTCTTCAATGGAAAAAAATTTTTTTTAGGAAGATTGACATGCTACCAATGTACTTCAAGAATAAATTTTGCTTTCAAACAATCAGAAACCAATGATTTTGGACTCTCTCCACTAATCTGAGCCTAGTTAATCAAGAATCTATATTTTGCAGAAAATTTTGTAAGTTAAAAAGAAAAATAATAACTTGAAAGCTAATTATATATAGGGTTGGTATTTTGTCCAGAAGAGACCTATTTCTTCCTGAAGAATTGAAAAGACATAAAAAAAAATATTAATAATAAAAAAAAACTGGACAAAATAAAAATGATTTATAGAATTGTTTAGCACCAAATATTTAGCTTAAATTTAAACAAATGAAATTTAATATAGTCCCAGAGAGTTAAAATGCTTTTGCATGTACATTTTTTTAAAATAAAAAAATTATTTTCATATTATTAATTTTTATTTTGTACAGAATTTTAAAATTTATACAACATATTATCAAAGAGTTGGTTTGACTATTCATTCTTAACAATACTTGATTACAAAACTTAGTATGCAATTTGCAATTGTAAATTCAATAAACATTTTAATATTCAATGTATTCATAGTAGTGTGACTAAATGATTTGTAAATTAAGTAGCATTAATAAAATATGATTATTATATTTTAACAACTTTTATATTGTTATAAAATTGTATGTAAAATAGTGAAGAACTACAATTATTTTAATTACTTTAGAAATTTACTAAATTTCCCAATAACTGTTTTTCAGTTAATCCTCATTTTTGCTTTTTACTTATTTAAAAATGATGTATTAACTAATTTGGAAATTAGTACTATTATTTAAATTAGATAGCAATTCTGAATTGTTTAAAAAATCGTTTTAATACTAGATATTTCCTTTTTTTTTAAATTTTTTTTTTTTTAAGTTTCTTCAATCTGGGTTGGAAGAAAAAAGCACATTTAGAAAGTAAAACTATTATTACTTCAGCAATTCCTACTGCAAAACATAGCATTTGTGTATGGGAAACTTCATCTTTGAGTCTCTTTACATAATCCAGTAGGTTTCCAGATCTTATATATTCCATGACAAGCATAATATCTGGATCTATAAAAATAAATGAAATAGAATATATTAGGATTTATTAAACATACTTTTTAAATGAAAGTTTATTTAGTAATTAAAAAATTTACTTTCCTTTATTTAGAATAATTTATATAAGAAATACAAAATATTTGTGTGAATGAACAGAGCTAATATTTGTATTACAGAAAGTAAAAACATTCACTACTATATAGATTTTTTCAATTATCAGTATCAGTTCAATTTTTTATCAATTACCAATTCAATGATCAACACTTTAGAGCAGCATTAAACAATAACTTTTCTTTTTGGAGCAATTTGGAGTTGCAATTTCTTCTTCTAGGTGAGGGTCAGTTTTATAACTTTAGAGTCATTAGTAACAATAGATAAAATTTAAAAGGACTTATAAAAAGAAATTTTTTGTTTGTTTCAAAAGTAGGATAAATAATTAAAGTAGGATAATAATATGATACAAATTTATACTCTGAATATTGAAACAAAAATGATATATATATATATATATATATATATTTGAATAAGTCCGAGAACAATTCTATGAAGATAGCCTTTTAATAAGAACAGCTAAGATGAATAGAAACAGATTATGAACAAAAATGCTTGTTTTGAAGAAGTGCTACGATGAATCATTTTGAGCAAATTTGTACAAAAATACTCGCTTTGGAGCACAATTATACTTGCTTTATTTTGCAAGTTGCAAAATTATACTGCTTTGGAGCACAGTTTTAATGAATTTGGAAACAGATAATGTGCAAAATGTTGCAAAAACGGCTATTTTGAAGAAGTGCAATGATAAATCATTATGAGCAAATTCATACAAAAATACTTGCTTTAAAATTATGATGAATTGGGACAGATTATGAGAAAATTTATTCTAAAATCTTTGTTTTAGAGTACAAATCGTAAGAATTGATATAGGTTCATAGAAATTTTTTGTAATAATCAATGTGATAAAATTTTTGTGTGAGCATTTATGCAGAAAACAAAACCAAATTTTTTTATTTTCCCAAGGAAAAATCTTTCTGCAAGAGCCTTGTAACGTTCTGCAATGCCGTCGCGATTATGCCATGGGAGTAATTATTACTATTTAAAGACAAATTGTGGCAAATCGTAGTAACAATTACATCACTGAAAATACTAGGCTAGGACCAATTTTATTTAGACATAGAAATGCAGGCAAAAAGTTTTCATATTTATTTTTTGAATACAGTATGTTCCATACATATTTTTTTAAATCTTTGTAAAAAACAAAAGTAAAAGGTTTATGGGTAAGATGTTTTAAATTAATACTTATATGACAAAAAACAAATTAAAATTTTGCAAATCATAGTGAAGATGAATGTTTGTTTGTCAGATAACTTAAATGGTCAGATGAAACTAAAAGGTGGAAAAAAAGTAATTAGAAGCACTATTCAGTTTTATCCAACAACCATAACTCTTTTGATACTTTCAATCCTCCTTTCAATGTGAATCACATTGATAGTGATGCATCAGATTTTGAAAATATTGTTTTGTTCATACTTAGATATTTACTAGCGTTCCCGTATGGATACATTTTTATGCTTCATTTCTTACAGGGATAGTTGAACAAAAAGGCAAATCAGATAGTAATATTTATCCTATGGAAGATAAAATATAGCTACCACATCAAAATAACAAGCGTAAATTTTTTTAAAATTATAATATAAATTTCAACCCTTTTGCGATGGAAGTTGCAAATGTGTGCTTATAATTGAAGAAAGAAGTTTCTTTCGTTAGCACCTGTGCAGGACTGGAGGGTTTCTGTTGTTAAATCTAAATTAATGCAATCACCAAAATATGAACACATTCTTTAAGAATATACAGTAAAGTAGATAAACAAAATATACTGTATAAATTTTTCATTCGCATATTTTATTTACTTAAGTTTTTTCTTGTTACAATACATTTTTACATAATTTTTGCTATTTCGAGTTTATATTTATGCTATTCATGATAATGATATGCTATTCTGCTATTTCCTGATAAAGATACTGTTTGAAAATATTTTTGTTTTCCTCACACTTGGATATTAACTAGTGTTCCCTAATAAATACATTTTTATGCTTCATTTCTGACAGGGATAGTTGAACAAAAAGGCAAATCAGATAAAATATAGCTACCACATCAAAATAACAAAACTAAAAAAATTAAATTTAATTATACTATATATTTTAACCCTTATGCGATGGGAGTTACAAATTTACACTTATAACAGAGACCGGGAGTTTCTTTCGTGAGCAGCTGTCCAGATCCGGAAAATTTTATGCTGTTAAGCCTAAATTAATGAAATCACCGAAATATGAACACATTCTTTAACAATATACAGTAAAGTACGTAAACAGCATATACTGTATTTTTTATTTGCATATTTTATTTACTTAAGTTTTTTCTTGTTACAATACATTTTTAAAAAATTTCTGCTATTTCGAGTTTGGTTAAACATTTTTGACACTTCGACATAGTAACAGCAAAATTTGATACCTGCCAGATCTAACTGTAAATTTAAAACTGAAATGCAAACCCAATACGCCCTCTAGCAAAAATAAACTCTCCTCCTAACAATAAATAAATACCTGGTGCTCATTTTAAAGATTCGTGTGAAAGCATGCAATTCTGAAGCATTCTCTTCCTCAAATGTTAATATAATAATAAAAAACAAACAAAACAAAAAATGCAAATGTGAGTCATATGCCTATCATTTTGAGCAGATGGTCAAATCTACAGACATACAACGTCATCTTGTGGCAAAAATTATAGTGTTTAAAATGCTCTAGAACACTGTAACAAATATGTGACGGCTGAGAGTGAACGAGAAATAACTCTGGCAGGAAGGTGTGTCAGCCGGGAGATGAGAGCGTTTCATGATGGCACGCACATGCAACAGTTAGTGTAAAATTGTTAAAGATAATTATGATAGCTAATCAGTAAGATAATTAAAAATAAAAATTAATACCTTCAACAAGACCAATAATAGTTACTATATTGGGATGACAGAGTTGTTTTAAAATATTAATTTCACGCTGAAAATCTTTCATGGTGAAACCCTCAGAGTATCGTATTTGCTTTACGGCAACTTCTCCCCATGATGACTTGGGCCCTCTTGTAAAGAGAGCCTTTTGAACATTTCCATAAAAACCCTAAAAAAAAGATTCATAGTTAGGAAAATACAGATTAATACAAATCATAGAGTTCAAACAGTAGTATTATTGAAAATGTGCAAAAGGGATAATTATTTTGCAAGTTTCATAATAAAAAGATGTTTTACTGATCCAAAGAATATAATCATAAAATTTAAATATAAAGTTCTAATAATTGTGCCTTCAAGCCACAGTTCAAGACATTCTGCACCTTGAATACACATATATTAAAACTTTATATTTAAATTTAATTATCATATTCATTCAGGGTGTCAAAATTTAAAATCAAAATCAGTCATTTAAATAAAAATTTTTGGAAAAAAACACATTATTGGTTTACATTATTTATGATGATAATAATTTGTAATGTTTTTTAAACCTAATACTAATTTGTAATGTTTTTAAAAGATTTTTGAGCAATAAACTGTAATCTGGAAAATGTATAGTCAAATAACATAGTCTCAATAGTTAGTCAAAATTTTTCTCTTGAATGTTGCTTTTAACCACTTCATTCATTTAAAAAAATTACTAAATCAAAGGCAATTTATGAACAAAGACTTTTTACAATCACATATGTTTATTCATTATAAAAATTTAAATTGTAAAGTATAAAAATTTTCACATCCAACATATATTAAAAAAAAGGTAATTTTAAAACATCAAATTTAAATAAAATCAGCTCTATAGTTAAGACAGAGGTTAAAAAATTGATTTTCTTTAAATTTTAGAAAAATCTTAAAGAAATTTCATTTTTACAATCTAATTTTGTCGCCTACATTATGCACTAATTAATTAGCAAACTCAAGTGTGCCCTTTGAACTATTATATTGGAACATAACATGAGAAAATGGATACAAGAATTAGATAAAAAATTATGAAGGGTGTTTCATTTTTGATAATTCTACATAACATGAAAAAAGATTGATAATTAAAATTAATAACAAAACAGAATTCGATAACAGATTAAAAAACTTTTAGCAAACAAAAAACTACCAAATTTAATATCAAATTCTATTGTGTTGTTAATTATCAAAATCTGCTTTATAATGTTATGCTTTAAGCTACAAAAGTACAACTCAAAAAGTAATCAGTAACAAAGCCAATTATGAAGTTCATTTTATCATCAGACAGAGTTGATGCCTGATTTCGTAACCTATATTACTAAGGGCACATAATTAAGGTGTGTAGGTAGAACATCTTAAAGCATAAAAATCTGTTTATTTGCTCAAAACTTATTCAGAGTGTTCTTTCTTTGTAATGTTAATTATAAACAACAAAAACAAAATGAAATTAATTACAATACATTTAAAAATATATTAACTTTTAATACTTTATTTTAAGCCTATAAATTAAAAAAAAAGGCATACTAAAAAAATAGGATAAAATATAAGCTATAGTAAATAACGTCAACATATTTTGGATTATTGAATAATATATAATGAATTTGTAAAATATTTCCTAACTTAAAAAAAAACCCTTACTTGTCCTAGATGTTCATCAAATTTTAGCTCATCTCTATCAATCAACCAGTGAGTATGGTTTTTAATTGCTTCATTGACATATGGATTTGTATCTTCATTACTAAAAACAATCATTATTAGAACATTAAATTTTATTAACTTATTAAAACTGTCTAGCAGAGTTAGAAATTAAGAATATTTAGTCACTGGTCCACAGAACCAGAAACTAAAAATTAATACAAGTCTGTGCATATTTTCTTTACTCTGTTTACACATCATGTATATATTCTATTTTTATAGCTAATAAGGTAATAAAGTTAATAAAGGAAAGTCAGTGCATATGTTCTTTACTCCGTTCACATGTCATGATTATATTCTATTTTTATAGCTAATAAGGGAATAAAGTTAACAAAGGAATAAGGGAAAGTCAGTGCATATTTTATTTACTCCATTTGCATGTCATTATTATATTTTATTTTTAAAATTAATAAGGGAATATAATAGAAAAATTACAATATGGAGAATGTGTAATGTTCACAATTATGATGATATATACTACTTTTTAGCCAAAACAATTTACCATCCCTTTATATCAATTGACTACGAATAACTTATTTTATGACGGTTCATGTCAATATTTAACGTCCTCGACCAATAGACAACCATTAATTTCAAGTCCTGGCTAGAGCAGTTATTACATTGTTTCTGATTTTCAATAAAAAATAATCTAATAGGTATACAATTTTAAATAAACATAGAATTTAAGAAATGTGTGTATGATCAGTTAACAATATATAAGCACATTTACAATTAATAAATAAATAACTTTTTAACTGTTTATGAAGAACAAATTTATCAATTTAAGTTTGATATAAGATTGTAAAGTTAACACAGTTAAAGGAGAATAATATTTTACAGAAAACTTATAATGTAAGGCAAAATTAATGGTCACTAATTGTAACAAAGTGACAATATATAAAGAATGGTGATTTAAAAATTGTCAGCCAATCACAACCAAACTGCCACTTTTTTCTTCAAAAATGTAACCCATGTGTATTTTTTTAATTATTTTTTTCAATAAATATGGAATTATAATGAATATTTTGAAATATTTTTAAAATTACTTTATTTTTTACACTTGTTTTTTTTTTCAAACTCTCCTTCATTTTAAAAACGAATCTTGCAATGTTTGCTATATTTTAATTAATGTTTCATGAGAAATGTCTTAAATTAAAATTATCAGCAGTTTTTTAAATGGATTAAAATTTTGAAAAAGCAGACCTACACTTTATAGAACAAAAAAAAAAGAGAAGGTACAAATTTACTGCAACATATAAAATTATTAATTTTTTTTTTAATATTTGCAGTAGGAACAAAGGAAAAATGATTTAAAACAAAAACAGTTCTCCCCAGGAAAAACAAAGGGCAGGACACTTTCTCTCAGAAAAGGGCATTTTGAGTTTTGAAAGGGCACTCACTCGACACCGTAAAAATTTATCAAAATGTGTAATATTCTGTAATAACTGAATTTTATCCTCAACAATTTTTAAATTACCTTCTAATACTATTTTATGTGTAGATTAAAAAGTAATTCTCACTCATTATCAAAATAAGAGAAAAATTTGTAGTTTATAAAAATAATTAAAGGCATGCTAAAAAATAATATATGAGCATGAATTTTTTCAGGAAAGTAAACAAAACAAAAAAAGATTGATTGATAAACAACTCGAAAGCTTCTTTTTATAATTTAAACTGAAAATTATGAGCATTTTTTTAAAAAAAAAAAAAGTTTTTTATTTAAAAAATAATTTTTAAATATAAAATCACTAAAATTTATTAATATCCTCCCCCCCAAAAAAGATATACTTGTAAACATTTAACCAGTTGAGAATAATCCTAACAAAGTAAATATTTATAATAGTAATCAGAATTAAACTTTTAAACACAGATAATTTTACTTGGTTGTAATTATTATTTAAATAGTGAATTAGTCATTTTTAAAATGAAACACGAATAAAAGGGCTGTGTTTTTAAGGGATGGCGGCTAATTTTTACCAAAAGGGCCAAGAAGGAGCATTTATTGGGATCAAAGAGCAAGTAGGGCGGGCCGTCCTTCTAAAAGTCCTTAGGAAGAATACTGTAATTACCTAATTTTTTCATTTATAATTTAATAAAAGAATATAAGTTGACTTACTTATTATAGAGAGCATCCAGGTTATTGATAATCTGAAAATCTTCTTCATCAATAATTGTTGCTTTAGGAATGAGTGGACAGGAGGACTGACCACTAGATCCATTAACAGTTGTTTGAAGAGTGATTTGAGATATTGTATCATATGCAACTTCTTTGACAGGATTAGGTGATTGCTTCTTGAATATGTTCGCAAATGAATTTAACTTTTTACTTAAAGTTTGCTCTTTTATTTGACGCCTTTCAGGTACAGGCGGTAATTCAACTTCCTTTTCCACAGACATAACCACAGCGTTATCATTGATAGTAGCATATTCATAAGTCCTTCTTGAATTATATACTATAAAATTTAAAGTTAATTACAATTAACACTAGTGACATTCTAAGTAAAGTTCAAAAATTACAGCATTATATGGGTGCTCAACCTTTTTGAGTGAAGGGCCATTTGCATAGCAGGTTGACTAACAAAGGGCATATTGAGATATTGGTGGCAAATATAATTTTATATAAACATTAGTTTTCTAAGCACTAATTTTTTTTTAATCAGTAAACTAAGTAACATATTTGCAGAAAATTAAAATACTTTCAATTATTAGAATTCATTCAAAAATGCAAAACCTGATAATATGTTTAAATTCCTCCCATTTTTATCATTAAATATATACATATATTGATAGACGGCTATGGGCCTTTCTTCCCGGCAACAGTCAATAAATAAATAAATAGCTGAGGGATTCACGTAGTGGATGAACTTAGGAAACAAAACTCTTACAGAAATAAATATTTATTCAACGACAGTGAAACATGAACTAAATTGCAAATAAAGTTTAGATTAATAATTACAAATAAAGTAAAAAGTTAACAGTTAACATACTAATAGCAAAACATAACCAAGTCCCATGCCGAGCTCGGACTCAACTTAAAGAAGAATCTTACATAATAATAGCTTTAACAAACAAAGGGGGAGAGAGCCTTCTGATTAAGTCTTGGCCTTTTAAACATTGAAGTACTGCGCCATCGATCAATTACAAGCTACTGAGCATTTTACCTAAATTATTGTACAAGTATGAGAAGATTTAAGTAGTAACTGGCTTCTCCCTTCAGAAAAACATTGTCTCATGAGCGTAATTTGTTACCCCCCCTCCCCCCCAATGACAGCTAGACATCAGACTTGTAGGACATCATCTTGTGACTTAACTAGAGTGAACCACAAGCAGAGATTTGGCTGATTTAACGCAATTATCGATCATATTTTCAACATACACATTGGAGGGGGATATAAATTCTGACAAAAAACAAACAGCTATGCTCATAGAATGAAATTGAAAAAAATAATAATAATAATAAATACATACATATTTTAATAGATACATAAATTGAAATTAAATATTTTAATTAAAGAAAATTTATAGGGTTTAAATCCAAATAAAAAATTAAAACAAAACCATCATAGAACAAAATTAGATTCAATATTCAATTAGTATTATACCTCAGATATTATTTCTATTTCTTGAATTATAAAAGGTTTTAAGAATTTCAAATAGGAAAAACTTTATTTTTCGTTTTTTCCTAAAAATCACATAAGCTACAAGAAATTAAAGAAGAAAAAAAATTACAAACAGTGAGCAGTTTAAAAATTTGTGTTTTCCTTCACTTTTTGAATTTCTTTTGTCACTATAACATTAAATGCATCGCAAGAACTGCAGAAAAAATTATTAAAAACTAACTTAGACTCAGGATGAAATTGGCAAAAACAAAGTGTGTCAAAAAGTGATTACTTAAATGTGCAACTTAAAAATCGTGTATTGTAATAATATCGCAGTAAAAACACGAGATTTTCAAAATTACATAGAAAAGCGTAGCAATACCTACCTTGAGAAAAATAAAAAGCCATTTAGATTTATGATAAAATTGGTAGAAATAAAGAACGTCAAATAGTGATAAATTAAATGCTCGATAAATAACTTCCGAATCTTAGTATCCTAATAAATATATCTAGAATTCATGAACCACATGAAAATTGATAGTCATAAATGCCAAAAAAAAATAATAATAATCATAACATAACTTGGATTTATCATGAAATCAACAAAAATAAATTGAGTAAAAAAGTGATTACTCAAATTTGAAATTTGCGTCTTGTAACATCCTGTAAAAAAATAATTTTTTTTTAAAACCATATGAAATTTCTAGAAATAATCTTTCAAAAAGCGATTGAGAAACATAGATTTACAAAAAAATATGTGTAATTGCACCAAAAAGGGATGACTCAAATGTGCAATTCAAATTTTTTGAGCATTTTTTTCATTTATTTTTCAACAAAAAAAAGTTCAATGTCGACAGAACTTCCTACACACCCAAGGTTGTGCACCTGTAGATATTGCTTAATATAAGCCCAACTGTGCATATGCTGAGTGCATTCCTTTTACATTAGAAACTTAACCAAAATTCATAAATTATATATAAGGTGATTTAGAAAAAAATAAGACACTCAATCTTAGTTTGAAACTTACAATTTCTCTTTTCAATTACTGAGCCATTTTTGTTCAGCTCTGCTCAAAGATATAAACCTATTGAAAATTTTACTGAGTTCATTCTTCCTTCTTGTGCTTCTCCCCTCTCTTTTTCTCAAGCGTTTCAACTCACAAGTACGGATTGACATAATTAGTAGTTCAGCTTCACTAAAAACTAAATTAAATCAGACACTAACAGCAAGAGTTATCTGAATTCTGAAGATACCATGTTTAACTCTTTCTGCTCTGCTTTTTTTTTCTTTTAAGGAAAAATGAATGGTTTAAGAAAATCTTATTAAAAACATATTTTTACCTACTGTAACTTTTAGGTGTTTCATTTTTCAAATGTTACTCTCTGAAGTTTTATATTTAACTCTAATTTTATCTATCTATATTTTGTATGTGATATCTAGTGATCTGTCACTAAAGCTCAACCAATGGTAAAGTATTTTTGCTGGGAATGTTCACATAGAATTTTGAGAAGTTGATTCCCTTACGATGTTGCTTTTGAAAATTTTCAAAAAATACTCGGCCTATATTAGGAAATAAATGGTTCATAGTTTTTATTATGTATTGTAACATGACTTTATATTACAAAACATGATTTTATATTGCATATCAGAATATTTTTAAGAAACACTTTTAATAATAAAACATATTTCTAAAACAAATAGGTTTAAATTAGCTATTTTTTCAATTATTAAATATTTTGTTTAAACATATGTGAGAATGATCTCAAATAATAATAGGAAATCTGAAATGCATGGAGTAACATACCGACATAAAGAACTTGATTTACATCTCTCACAATTGATTGAGGTCGTTTTCTGCTGTCTTGGTCAGCAAGCCAGCATTCAGTCATAAGCTTCTTGATATCAGGGTGGCCATTTTCAGGTACAGGTAAGCGTTTGCCCATTTTATAAAATTTTTTTGCCTACAAATTGGGAATCAAAGCACAGTTTTTAAAATGATAGACAAAAGTATTTTTCAAAAAAATTACACCTACAATTTACATACAGTTGGACTTCTATTTAAAGATATTTTTTAAGGAACCAATAGAACAGTTTGAGAAATTATTAGTAAAATGATTACTAAAAAGTGAGGCAAACTATCAATTTAATTTTTCCTTATGTTTATATTATATATTTTACTGTTATGTTTCATTTTTTTTTCTCCTTATTTCTCAAAATATTTCTGAACTTTTCAAACTTATTCAATCTTTTAACATTTGAGAATAAAACGTGTATGGTGACACAATTAATATGATAATGTTAAAATTTATTAAGTTTGAAATAAAATTAGTTCCCTTTTAAATTGAAAAAATGCAGAGTATTCCAAGACATTGTTTAATTTTAGTCCTATTATTTATTTTATTCTATGATTTATAAAATTAATAAATATTATTTTACAGATTACTTAAAATAATCAAATATGACATACCATAATGTTAGAAATAATACCATTAGATAAGAAAACGGCAAATGACTGTGAATATACTGGCAACCATTATAGAAGGGAAAATGATAAATTAGGTTGCAGTGGCTTGGAGAGAAAACACAGATTACTAGAACTACTATAAATCACTTTTTATTTTGACCCTCTGAATGATACAACAGTGAAATGACGTATAGATTAATTTTTGTGATTTCTCTACACACACAAATACATAAAGATAAGCAAATAACCTAATTTTATTAACAATAAATAAATAAAAGAAAAAGAAAATGAGATAAAACTCGGTTACGCTTAATTTTTTGGTGAAATTTTGTTTTTATATAACCAACCTCTTTTGGCGGTTTACTGGATAATGGCTTTTGTCCAAATGAAAATATCTCCCATAAAGTTGTTCCAAAAGCATATACATCAGCTGAGAGGGAGTTTGCAGCAATTGAATAATCATCATGACATTCTGGGGGAATCCAGTGAATGCTAAAATGAAATAAAGATATATCAAACATATATATATATATATAAATAATATGTTCTACAGGTGCACAAAATAATAATATCAATATTATAATAAGGAAGTAATTCTGAAAATTATATATAATATAGCTAAAATGCACATTAATTCATAGTTTTTAAATTCATATAAAATGATGATTTATTCATGTTTTTTATATGAGGATAAAGCACAGGGAATAGTAAGATTAGCTGCATGCTTGGAAAAGGTGAACACAAATTCATATCTCGCAGTTTACCTATAAATCCTAATTCCAATATCAGTGCCTTAGTTATTATACCACTTTTCTTAAAAGTATACACAAAGTAATCACACTTTTGTAAGTTAAATGAAAAAAAATAATAATAATAATTACAGAAACTAAAAATCAGGTGTTTTAATTTTGCATTTCACTTGTTACTAAGTTAATACGGTTGTTATATAAATTGTTCTTACAAAATATTTGAAGCCGGAGAAACTAAATTTAAATTCTTTAGCAGAGAAAAAAGGCTTTGACTGAATTTTTAATGTCACAAACTGCAACTTTGTAAACCAAACACTTCATATTAACACAGTAAAAATTCATGCTTAAATAGAAACATTTTTAACATCAATGGAAGATACAAAAGTTCTTCTTCTAAGAAATTTAATTAAACTGGAAGGGTAGAGAAAGTTTAAAAAAATGGATCATATATGTGATCCCTAATTCAGTTTAATAATTTTGACTTCAGTGCAATAATTTCTTAGAATTTTGAGAGGATATAAAATTACATTGCATTGAAAATTGATAAGCCATTTTAATCTACAGAAGGTATTTAATAATTAGCTGATAAGACACATAACAAAATACAAAACACTTTAAAAAAATGAATAAAAGAATCTTACTCAGAGTCACTGTATGAAATTATACCAGGGTCAGTAATTTTCACTTTAAAAGAAGAATCTGTATGATTTGCTACCAAAATATTGTGGCACCTTATATTTCCATGTACTGTTTGCTGCTCTTCCTACAAATAAAATGTTATGAGTAAAATTTTGTTTAGTATTTACAAATTTAATTTCCACAAACATCTTTAGAGATGAGACAGATTTTATTAAAACTTTTAGAAATTATTATTTTTTTATTGAATGAACACTTTTTTAAAAATTAAAGTTAATAGCCAAATGAAGTTCTGAATTGACAAAAGACAAATACCGCATGACAAAAATAAAACATTGAAGTTCTTAGTTTTTTTTGTCCTTTCAAGTAGAATAGCATTTCCTTCATGTATATAGATCTATTATGTAAATATATTATGTATATAGATACACATGTGTACATATATTATACATATATATTACTTTTGCTCCATGTCGTTAGGTATGCTTTCTACTTTCTTTTATCTCAAACTCTTTTTCAACTGCACTTTATTTTTTAGTGATATAGACACATTATAAAGAGTTATTTTTTATCTTAGGATAATTATTCTTCATTTGGAAATATCGCATTTATCGTAAGGGAATGTGTCCTGATGAAAACCTTTAGGTTTTCCCATTAAATGATTTTCCATTTTATTTTACTCTACTTCTCTTTGTGTTTATAATATATATATATATTTATAATATATGTGTATATATATATATATATATACAGGGGTCAGTCTAGGTTTTTCAGAGAGGTACCTATTTTGTGAAAATTTAGACATAATTTGTGAAAAATTAAAAATTATATTAAAAAATCAACACAAAAATATGGATTTATCGTTTCTTAAGGGATACAAAAATAAAATTTTAAGAAAAAGTATTTTGTGAAACTACCGTTTTTCCTAAAATTGAATTTGTGAAACTACCGTTTTTCCAAAGTTGGTTTTGTGAAGGTACCGCTAAACGGTAGTAAATTCGGCCTGGACAGACCCCTGATATATATATATATACACTCATGGACAAAAAAATTAGCGCACCAAGAAGGTGTAATCAAAATGAAACGAAATTTTACATACGCAATGACTACTTTGATATAAATGATTAGAAAATGAAAGAAAGACGATAATCTTTGATTTTCTAATCATTTACTTACATCAAAGTAGTCATTACGTATGTAAAATTTCGTTTCATTTTGACAACTTCTTCTTGGTGCACTAATTTTTTTGTCCATGAGTGTATATATATATATAGCATAATAAATAAATACAAACACACGAGGAAAATTAAGAAAAACCATAAGTTTATATATATGTATATACATATATATTAAAATTTTTGTTTTAATACTACATATTTTATTTGTATGCAAATACTAGCAATTTTAATAATGTTTTGTGTTTGAAGAAAGTACTCCTGATAGAACTGAAATACACCACCACTAGTTTCATTAAGTAATAGAGCTAAGCTTAAAGTTTAAAAGAAAAAAAACACTTATTTTAAACTACAATATACAAAAACAGATGAAAAAAAAAATAGATTACTCACAAGATACCACAATGCTTTAGCCACATAATAAGCTGCTTCAATAAGATCAACTTCTGGCATCTTTTTACCCTGCCCAAGTAAATACCTATCAAGTGGACCAAGTGGTAACCATTCCATAACTAAAGCTGTGGGGTTGGTAAGAATAATACCAACAGTGGAAATGATGTTTTCATGTTGCCAAAATAAAACCTTATCAACTTGAGATAAAAATTCCTAAAAAAGTTAAACGGTACATTATTTACTAAGTTCTACAAACTTGCCGATCTTTAACTACTTACTATAGAATTTTGGTAATATGACACCACAATAGTTCACTTATAAATAAAAAAATCTAATTATTTCATTTCTGTTCTAAAATTAATGACAAATAAGTATTTAAGAAGCATATTTTAAGTTAAATGCCTCGAACCTTTGTACCTAAGAGTCCCAACAATAAATTCAAAAACAAAAAATCCTACTAAATGAATACTAAAATGAATACATAAATAGAATTATCAATAAGTGCATTTTGTCTGTAAAAAATTTAATGAAAACTTTATTTCTAGTTGCATGTTAAACGTGCAAGTAAATATCAAAAGAAGGGATAATTAAAATAATAAACTTTTGTAAATAAGCCTGAAAACATAATAGTTCTGAAAACTTAGAATCTAATTTAATTAAATCCTTTTAAATAGAAAATATGAATATAAAGAATACTTATACTTTAACATTAGGACACTGTAACCATTAATGCTTTTTTCAAAGAAAAATAAAATACTGAATGCATGCAAGTAAAAGCAGCAATTGAGACATAAAATGTATACAACTTTACTTGTAAAAAATATTGACGGTGTTAAAATTCTTATAGAAAAATAGAATACAGGAAATTCATACGAATTTTTTACAGGTATGCAGAAATGCCTTGAATGCTTATAATGAAAATGAAAAAGAATGCTTTAAGTTCATAATCAATTTTCTGAAGATGTTAGGTATTTTTTGGGCTAACTCCTTAAATATCACTTTTGAGGATGTAGTTTCTTTTATTTAAAAGTTTACAAATTAAAATGATTTTTTGATAAGACTCATAACTTTATCGTGGGTTGTGATTCAGATATACATGTTTAAAAACAATGTTATCACCAATTTAAAATCAAATTTAACAAGATCAAATGTCCTCAATTTAAATAAAAGTTAGTATGTTTTATTTAATTAAAATTTTTTAAACCAATTTATATATTTATAAGTGTTATAGTCACAAAGAGTCCATAATTTTTCGGCAATTCAAAATTCTTACTGATTTATCGTTAAATCATTCAGAGGATACTCCTTTGGAAAATTAAAGGGCCTTTTCCCTCTCTAAGCTTAATGGATTTGGAGCTAATAAGCAACAAATTTAATTGTAGAAAATCTTCAAGATGCTTTTAATTAACTTCTGCTTAATTTTGGTTGTTCGACGCCTGGTGGCTGAGCGGTAGTGCTTCGAGCTGTCGTGCCTAAACACTGGGGGTTCCGCGTTCGGCTGACCACCTGACTGGAGCATCTGCTCCCGCACCCCAGAGCCCAAGAAAACTGAGATGGGCACAGTAGGCCTTGGCCCTCTATGGGCTGTTGCGCTGCTAAGTTTTAGTTTTTAATTTTGGTTTTTACAGCCATAATATTGAAAAAAAGTAATATTATAAAATTGGTGGGTAAAAGTATAACATTGAGAGATAACAAGAGCTAGACAAGGAAGACTCACCATCAAATGAGTAGCTTTTGTTTCCCGACGCAGACTTTTGACTGCAACAGCTTTGGATTCACCACATGTTCTACGTAGATGGCCGTGAGTTACGCTGGTGAATCTTCCATTGAACTTTGGTATGGTTTTAGAGAAAACAATAGCATCATGAGGAATACATTGTGCGGTGCAATTGCAATCTCCTCGGGTAACAAAGTTATTATCCCTGTCTTTTTTACGGCACAGCAATAAGTCAGAGACATCTGTAAATTAAATGGAGACATTTAGAAGAGGAGATAAAAAAAATAAGGCTGATTTAGGGTTTAAGTACTTTAGGATTTTGAAAAAAATACTTTATTTCATTATTAAAGGGTGCCTTAATACGTTAAAATGATGACTCAAAGTTTATGAACAAATACTTTAAGTGCTTTAATTTTTTACACAAGCGCTGTGTAGATCCAATAAATGTCAAAAGCGTTATTTTGCAAAGTTGCATTGTTATAAATTTATACAAGGATCAGGGGTCAGAAAATTTACCTTTCAATTAGGTGACCCAGGTTCAAATTCCAATGATGGCTGGTTAATACAAACTCTGCTCCTGGTTCACACTGACCACAGTGACAGAATTAAAATTTTCTCAGTGGTAGATGGATCATGGGTAAAAAACCCTTTGCTGTCGGGCTAACTATGGAAGGTTTTCCACAACATATCATGAAAATAGGTTCATTTCCATCAAAAAGTCCTCCACAAAGACTAGTTTGTCTCAACATATGTTATTCTTGTTCCAGGAGTCTCTTCTCTTCTGGGTTGGGTCCAAAATTAAAAGGTTACTGAGTTGGAACTCTTTTTTTTAATGGCAGCTACTGAACTTATTGTTCTTCATCATTTAAGGTGTTGGAAGTGTTGCTCATTTTGAGTTGCCTAGCACCTTGTGACCTAAATCAAGGAGGCGAGCAACAGTACCACACTGCCACGGACAACCATTCGTAGGGTGGGTCAAATTCACACATCACATTCAACAGAGGACCACAAAATAGAGAGAAACATCCATGCCCTGAGTGGGATTCGAACAGCAGCTATTGGCTTTGCAGTCAGACACATTAACTGCTGGGCTACCTGGCCAACAAGTTAAAACTCAGAAGATAAGAAATTCAGAACTGGGTCGAATGTTCAACAACAGTTACAAAATAAAATCAAATTAATTACATCCATTCCTTACAGAATTATGATAATTTTACATAGAATAATTTTTATGAGTTTTGCAACATACTGAACATGCTGGAAATTTGACAAGCATAAATTTTTTGGAACAAGTAATATAATTTAATGTAAAAATAATTAATAATTTAAATTACAAGTAATATAATTTAATGTGAAGTTCAATCTTTTTATAAAAACAAATTTTTGACATAAAAAATTATTCTGCCTTTATTCTAGAATAGGTCAAGAGATAAAAGGTTGTAATTATTTCATCATAAAAACATTAATGAAGGCATGGCATAAAAATAGTTTAAAAATATGTGGTTTGTATGACACTACAAAAGTTAAATCACAAATGCAACTAAAATTTCAAAGAATATATTTTAGCAGCTTACCATATTCAGAAGATGGAATGCATCTTTTAAAATTTAAATTATTTATTTCAGAATGAAATGAGAGCAATTCATGGATAGAAGGAAATCTATTGGACCAGCCTTGCAAGCAGAACAGATCATCATCGGTGGTTATTATTTTGTAAGTGTGGATGTTTTCTTCGAGTACAGAATTCCTTTTCTTTAAAACATCAACATAATATTCACCATATTCCATAGCACTCTCACGAATTATGTAGCAACCAGCATCTCCTTTACCCTTTTCTTGCAATTTTTTGTAGGCAAAATCAGGCCTATAGCATGGAAATATATTACTACAAAGTACAGTATGTTTTTTATAAAAATACTCAAAGAATTATATTGAGTATTTAGAAACTTGAAACTGATAGAGCATGAACTTTTTTGTTAATAATATATAGATAAATTTAAAACACTAAATTTTATAATGTGTGGCGTATTTAATGGGCAGCCCACCTGGAGATATTTTTTTACAGTTTGAGTTTAAAAATTCTACTTTGTTGAATTGATTCTCAAAACTGTCCTTATTTCCCTCTCATTCTATGCAGTGATCCATATTTAAAATTTATAATCAATAATAATCTAAAGAATTCCAAATGCAGATAGAAAAACAGGTCACAAGAATGTAACAATAGCGCTACTGACACTCTTTTCTTCAATCAAAGAAATTGTTGACAAACGCCCCTCTCCCAACCACCCCAGGAATAATAGTCTCTTATAAGGATCGGCGAAAGTACAATTCTCCCTCCCTCTTTCTTCTGCTGCAAGTGTGAAGAAAAGAAAAATATGCAAGTCATTCTCTAAAAGGAATGAGTTGGGATGAAATGCTTAAACAATCTATCTTGAAAGTAAAGTGTATCCTCACTTTCAGCAGAATGACAATTTTATTATTTTTACTCCTGGAAATGTACCATTTCGAAATTTGAAGATCTCTGAGTAAAATGATGCTGCATGATGAGCACATAGACGAAAGAAAATTCATTAAGTGCTGGTTTCTGATTTTAAGAAGTCTGCTTTTTCCCTGTTTTAATTTTTTTCCCCGGTGCTGATTTAAAAAAATCCTTTTTATTTATTTATTCTACAATTAACGTTTATTTTAAGAATTTTTAGCTGTTTAATTATTTTATTTATGTGTTACTGGGGTATTATAAATAAATTATTAAAGAAAAAATGCTTTCACAAATATTTTTATGCTTTAATTGTGTTCAAAACGAGATCACTTCTTTGTTCAATTTCAATATTTATCAATTATATTCATACTTTGATCAATATTTAATAATTTTAAGGATTTTTAGCTGTTTGATACGTTAAAATTTCAGAAGTTTAAAATCAGTAATACAAATTGGGATACTTTCATGATTGCTTGGCAAAGTACCATTTTGTGCAAAACATAGATCAATTTTATTTATTATAATTATTATTAATATTTTTTTGAATAATTATAAGAGTTTCCAGTTGTTTAACTTTTGATTTAATAACATTTAAGTACTTCAAATCAAATTACAATATAGAGATGTGATGCAATTGCGATTGTTTTATATGGCACAATTTTGTGCTATATAAAATTCTTTTCATAATTTATTATATTTCAATAATTTTTAGCTTCATAATCACTTGACTTACACAAAGTTGAAATATTTTAAATTAGTAATTGACGTAATGCAGTTGTTTTGCATTTGAATTGCGTACAATTGTACACAGTACAATTATTGCGCTGATTTAAAAATTTATGTTGAAAATTATTAAAATGCACCATTTCTGTTTTAAAGTAATATCTCATACATTATTTATTGTATATTTAAGAATAATTTTAATGAATTTTAACTGTTTAATCATTTATTTGTAATTTGTTAATTCTGCGATCGTTCATGTAGTAAACATTTTTGTGGTGTATGCAATGGTTGGGCTTTTCTGGTTAAAAACTTTTCTTTTTAGTCAAACTTTGAGGGTGCAGCGTATAGTATATCCTATCTCTGCCAAACTATGGTACAAATAATGGAAAATAACTATGGAAACAACTATGACAAAATAATGGAAACACTTCTATAATAATATACTTTTTCATATTTCTCAAGAAATACTTAAAGATTCAGTTTATAACTTCAGAAGTGTTAAGATCATGCGATTTCTCATACTTATCAATAAATTTGAAAGCTTTTAGAGGTATGAGGGACCGACAATAAATTACAAATGTAAAATAGCATTTTTGAACAACCTATACCAAAGAATGTAGCAATAAATTTGTAACAATCATTTTGGTTATTATAAACAATAATTGCACAAAATTTTGTAAGTTTAGCTGAAATATTTATAGAGATATAGACATTTTTATAAAAAAAAAAACTACTTTTTTCGCCATAATTTTAAAAATATTCAATAAAATGAAACAAAATTTTTAGAGCAATTTAAAATTAGTTACAAAATTATTACTTTAAAGTTTGAGAAAAATTGTTTATAACTGTGCAAGATATGAGTAATTAAAGTAGTACTTTTTTATTTCACACAAACAGGAAAAATTAAAAAAAAATTTTCCCTTTATTTTGTATAGAATCGTTTTTTGCAACTAGTAAGAAAAATTTGATTTGAATATCTTAAAAATTTAAAAAGTTTCAAGCCATTTTCTAAATAGTTTTGTGTACTTTTTAAAAGAAACTCAAAATTTACCCAGATTTCAGTAAATTCGATCCAATGTTAGCTTAGAAATGAGATTAATAGAAAAAAAATTACAGAAAAATAAGCTTATAATGAAACTACATTTTTGTCATAATAATTCTTATTTAACCAGATCCTTATCTAGGAATTCAGTCTTAAATGTTTTAAACTTATTACGAATTCACAACATATAATATTCACAAGAAACAATTGAATACAGATTAAACAATTTTTGTAACTGTAATAATAAACAATAACTTACTCAACAGGACCGTGACATTTGATAGCTCTAAGGTGTAACAATGCTGGAGAAGGTAAGTCAGCACACAAGTTATAAGTCCACTTTTCCATCAAACGATAATAGCCATCAAGTACAGATACAAACGAACGCAACTGAGGGACTGTTTCAAATTGAAAATACTAAAAAGATGAAACAACATAGCAATTTATATAAGAAAAAATTAAAAGCAAAATGCTTAAAAGTTAAATGTATAATTACTTTTACAAGTCAATTGATATTTTAATGGAATCAAGAAAAAATAATGTATTACATTTAGAATCAACAATTGCACCTGCTAATATGAAATTTCGGATAATTTCACCTGATTGTACTTTTTGAAAATTTCCATCGATATTAAAAAATATACTAATGTGTATGATGTCACAAAACAAATAAAATTTCTTGTCTTGTACTGGCAATGAAGAACTGAGAGAAAGAAAGCAAACACATACAGGAGGAATAGTTTGCTTCAGAAAGAAGCACAACTGTTAACCAGCTATGATTGGCACATGCCAAAGGAATTATGTCGAAAGAAGCATATCTGCATGATAACATAGACGAGACCAAACACTAACTTGAGGTTGAAGAAGTTCCACAAATCCAAGTTTTCACCAAGAGCTTCTTTTGTTGTTTCAAGTGGTATAATACCCAGTAGGAATATGCAAGGCTGTTTCTCAGTTACTATCTACTCCAGCAAGAGAAAGTCACAGTTTCAAATCAAGCAGATGAGAAGCAAAATTTCCAGCATTCTGTCACTTCAACAATCTATCTGCTAGCAGTTGCTGGTTGAGGAACAGAGCTATACTGCCTATTTCCAAAGAGAGGGAGAAAGAGACAGAAGAACACCCAACCATATTTATCCTACTACTTAATGAACATAACACTGATGCTTACAATTTAATGTTCAAGATTAGGTATTAGAAATTATCTGAAAATGAAAATATATGCTAATTACCTGTTATAACATTCAATGCGACAGCTCTGCACTCTAGTGAATCACCGCGCAACTACCAAAAGAAGAGCAAATAAAAACGTACAAAGTAAACAAAACCTTAAATTTCGAAAAGCATAGTTAATTGATGCTTTTGAATTCGTCAATTGATGGAATGTTACAAGGTATTGAGCATCTAATATTTAAATGTACCTCTATATCATTATGCCACATTGCATAATAATATAGAGGTATATTTTAATTTTAATGATGTTTCATAATTTATGAAGGAGAGGCTTTCATATTCAAGTGAATAACAGAATCAATGGAGATAGCTTGACAACTTTTATTATCTAACTGTTTTTTTTTTTGTTTTTTTTTTTTAAAGGTTTTACAAATTCATGAGAGAATAAAGTGCTTAAAACTGTTGTGTTTTCAAACACAGAAATTTAGAATTGCATATGCAAGGAAATTCCATGAATCATTTAATTCAAACAAATGTAATTTCCAAGCAATATCAAAATGGATACATGAATCAAATTATAATATTAATAAATTGAAACGTATAATAGAAGCATATGAAAAGAGATAAACAAAACAAATGTTTTACATGCTGTATTTATTTATTTATGTGTTTAGAACCTTATTTTAAAAAGAGACTTCCATTCATAGGAAGCTAGTCTAAAATAGTTTAGTACACAATAAGGGAACAAAGTGATACTATAGAAAATATAAAAGTGATTCTATAGATTTAGGGAATCGACCAGTATAGCCCATAGTTGAAAAATATATATAAATTTAGCAATACAACAAATACATTAATGTAAAACAGTAGACTATTCAGCATGTAAAATATAATAAACTTTGAATCTATAGTAAAACATTATAGTAAACTAAGCCTCAGTAAAATAATTCCTTTCCAGCAATTGTAAAATATATTTAAGACTTCAAACCTATAGTGATAATCAATTTTTATTTTCTGTAAGTTTTTTTCCCCCTTCATTTTATTAGCATGAATTGAATTTAATTATAAGGAAAATATATAGGCATTTTTGTTTAAAGTATCTTGTTTTGTTTAACAGAAAAAAGCTCAAGTGTGATAAATAATGTTTGCTAACACTTGTATTTATTTAAACAGAGTATTTTATATACTTGGAAAGAATTAATGTTTAACTTCCAACGACTCTCTGGTAAATTTATATAATTTTGAAATGAAAGATTCCAATATTTTTGTAAAAAAAAGTTTATTAAAACTTTATTCAAAATAAGGTTTAGGTGCAAACATATAATTATCAGAAGTATTCAATTAAATATAAATTAGTATTTGCTATTATTATTTGTTTATAAATTAGTATTTTGCTGCAACTAATTGAATGACACAAAAATAAATACATTTAAATTGTAGAAAGCACCTATTTTTCTCAAATCATGCAATAATTTTAAAAGAGTCGAAATGTATTAATCAACTGAATTATAATGATCGCAAAGGCAATTTATATAACCATATCCAAGAGATAAGCAAAACTTGAATTTGAAATTAAAACTTACATGTGGTATTCCAGTTTTTCGACTGATCTCTACAAAATGGTCAATGACAATACGTTTCTCATTTTTTAATTTTCGTTTTTCTTCCCTTATACTAATATAGCAGAGATCTTCTACGGAACAGACATGTGACCATCCCTATAAATAAACAAGAATGATTTACATTTCTGTATACAGATGAAGGAAGGCCACACACACTTAGAAAAAAAACTTCCTTAATATTTGTAACAGGTGGCATAACTTTAAAAAAATCAGAGAATAATATTTCAGATCTTTTCAGCTCTGTTTTAGTTGTGTAAATGAAGTACAGAAGATCTTTATAATGCAAATCTTGAAACACAAGTCATTAAACATAGCTGCTAACATGGATCGGAAAAAATCAAGTATATTTTACGATATAATATAAATTTCATACATAAAAGTTGCAACAAACGTCCAGGGGATTTTGGACACATCATCAAGATTAAAATTGTAAAGGAATTCATGCCCAGAAATGCAATAGAAATGTTGTCATATGCCGCTAGGATCATATGTCGCAACAGGTTATCACAGGGAAGCGTCCTTGACCATGTATAATGACAACTCTGAACATAAGTTCTTATGCAATATTAATCATGATGGAACTACCCTAGAAGCAGGAAGTAGAATAATGATGGAACTCCCCTCGAAGTAGAATAACTTCCCTAGAAATTTATCGCAATATTTCCGTGAGCCCTGTTACATATAACATTTTTAAACTTGTTTTAGCAAAAAATTGTGCAAAAATGTAAATTTAAACAAAATCGGTAGCTTTATGAGAAAAACTAATTTCAGATTTGAAATTCAAACACACCCAAATTAGGCAAGATCAACATTTGTATACATGCAACAAAACACTAGTTCCAAGTGTAATTTTCTATAGAAATTTATGACAAAATCATTTATAGTCATAGATCAAATCATTTATTGCAGGTAAAAAACTAAAGCAAAAACTCACATCTTTTCTTCCAGGTATTTTTATCCTCAACCCTGGAAAGATTGGATGAAAAGGATTAACTACCACATCAACTTCATGAACTCTACCACCTTCATCAATTCTAACACTATACACCTCAGATCCATAATCGGGAACCAAGTCCAACATCTGTTCCAGATATTTTTCCTATTAAAAAAATAATAATAATAATTTTTTTTATTAAATAAGCAATTTAAAACTTACGTAATAGGAGAATAAATAGTACACCAAGTGCTTAAAAAACCATAGTTAATGAATTTTACAGTTAACAGAATGACAGTTTTAGTAAAAAATTATGTTTCACATATATTAAATTTTATTATTTAAAACCATGCTTCCTTTAAACACTAACAATCTGAGTGTTTTACTAACTCAGATATTTGAATGTTGAACTTTGGATTGATGATTAAATGCATTCATTTTCAAATTTTATTGCAATACTCTTCAGTATTAATGCTGACAATACAAATAATACCAAACAAAAGAGTCAGTCACAGGGATTATCTCCTTTTTTACAAATTACAAATCAACCCGTTTTGATTGAGTTTATCGTGTAATGGATTACAAAAGAAAGGGCAAAAAGTGAGATTCTTTTTTTGTTATTTTTAGGCTATTAAAGACAAAGACATCATTAAAAAAATAGTTTAAGGGGCAGCTGAAAATAAATGTCATGAAATTAAAGATAAAAGGGTCAAAGCCTTAGTCATAGGAGATTGGCTAGAATTATTAATTTTATGAGAACATTTATCGTTAACTATCCATTCATTTCTGAAAAGAAACTTGCAATATCTGAATCAGGGTTAGAATTTTGTCTGAAAGAAACTTATTTTGTCCAGGACACTGGAAAAAACTGAACAAAATGAAAACAAGTGGATAAAATGGAAGAAATTTAAAATGACTAATAAATTTCTAAAAAGGATAGGGTATACTTTGGGCTATATAAACTTTAAAAAAAAAAATGATTTGTAGAAATAAATTTATGATTTGTAGTAGTGTATCATATAAGTGTTGTAAATGATTTGTTAATTTAATAGTATTATTAAAATTTGATTATATTTTAACAGTTCGTTATACAGTATAAATTTAGGTTCTTCTATGTGTAAAATAAAGGAAATTAGTTTTCATTTCCTAAGAAATTAATTAAATTTAATTTTTTCCCAATTGTTGTCTTTTAGTTACAATTATTTATAATTAATATATTCGATTAATATGCTTATTTGTATGTAAATAGTATACTTATTTTCAATTGTGAATTAAATTCATGAATTGTAGTAGTGAATTGCAAGAATGTTATAAATGATTTGTTAATTTAATTTTATTATTAACATTTTATTATATTTTAACAGTTCATTACACAGTATAAATTTAGGCTTTTCTATTATTCTTTATGTAAAAAAAATTAAATTTATGTTTCTCCCAATTGCTGCCTTATAGTTTCAATTATTTTTTAATATAATTATTAATATATAATTATGTTGTTGTTACTTTACGTCGCACTAGAGCTGCACAATGGGCTATTGGCGACGGTCTGGGAAACATCCCGGAGGATGATCCGAAGACAATATATAATTAATATATTAAATTAGTAACTTAAATATTAATACTATTTAAATCAGATTACCAATAAATACCAATAATAATTCTAATATAATAATATTACTAATAATAATTCTGTTTCAAAAACTATTGTAATATTTGATATTTTTTCTTGAAAAAATATTTCTACTTGAGTTAGAAGAAATTTATCTCCTTCAGAGTGGTTTTTTTCCATGCTATCCCTGGTATTAATATATTTTCATTGGAAAAAAAAAACAAGAATAATTACTTTGACAAATTCAGAATTTTGTCTGCTGTTTTGCCATCCTTTTGTAACAGCTTTTTCAAGAGGACCTTGCAAGAAACTATCCAAAAGAGGACTTCTTTTAAGCTCTTGAGGGAAAAAGTCACGGCAGTTGTATTTCATAGTGTCAGGAGTCAGTTTCATCTCTAGCATTAAGCGAATAATGTCTGTGGCAACTAGTCCTAATGCAGATTCACGAAACTTGAACAGCTCCGGTATTTTACCTTCTAAGAAATCTGTGCGAACTTGATGAAAATAATAATTAAAAGTCCTGGCATCACCTTTTTCCTAAATAAAATATAAATAAAAGTTTTAAGGTCTGTGGATAATTTTATTTAAATAATTAAATATTTTCACGTTAAAAAAACACACATATGCAATAAAAGAAATAGATGTGCAGTAATCAAGAGGTCATAATATTGCAGATGCTATTCAAAACTGATTGACACTTAGAAGTTAACTGGCACTGTTATCATGATGATGAATAAAATTAAATATCATGAAATATTTATCCCCAAAAAAATGCAGTTACTTTTTTTTTAAAAAAAGTAACTGCATTTTTATATTATATTTGCATTATATAAAAATGTAACTGCATTTTTATATTATTTATATTATATTTTATATTATATTGCATTATTATATTTTTAAATATAATAATAATAATTTTTAAAAAAAAACGAAATTCTGGAAAATTGAAGACCTTTAACCAGAAACGTAGCTAGAATCTTTTTTGATAGAGTGAAAATATTCCTTGATTTCTTTTAGTGGAGTGCAATTCCTGTTGGAAAAGTGAAAAATGAGAATATATAACGATATGAATCACAGAAACCAATTTCATAAAAAAATGTTTATCTACTTAAAAGATACACCTAGCATATTAGTTTAACATTAAATAACTAACAGTTTATCAATCAATTTCTTTCATTAGTTTTTAACCCATTCAAGATTGAAAACCTTTTTTAACATACAGCTGTTGGCAAGATTATAGCAATTGCTATGGTATGGATTGCTATAATGGAAAAAAGGAAAGGTCTCTCATCTGGAGTTGTTTAGAGCAGAGGGAGAAAAATCTTAATTTCAGGGATGCACTAGCCACTAGTGAAAATATACCTGACTAGTTTTTTAAGGAGTATTTCCAATATTCCGTGCATGAAATACATTGTTAAAAAAATAAAAAATATCTTTGCTGTTGTTGTTTCCCATGCTACTTGCCAGTACCAGCAAGCTTGCTTGGTGAAACTAAGCAAATTTAAGGCAGAGCGTGCATTTCTTGTTTTTCAGTAGTGTCACCTATGGCCAAGAATACAACTTCAGCCACACACGTACCTCACAGCCCATTTTAATGAGTGCACTTATTCATACATCCATTTATTCATCCACAGATTATAATTTGATTTGAACCAAAGAACGATCAATCTCCAATTCACTCCTCCCAGATGTATTGATTTGTTAAGGGAACTTGGAAGCTTTGTGACCTGACAATTTTAACGTGCACCAGTCACCATTTACTACACAGGGAGTCTTCGGCAGAGATCGAACTCACAACCTCTTGGACAGGAGCTAATGCCCCACCAACCAGGCTATCCTAGCCTAAAAATATCTCCAAAATCATCCATACAATGTCATTAAATGTGATCATTGACCTTCATATGCATTAGCTATTCTTATAGTAGAAAACATAACTTTTAGTTGAATAGATTTACTTATCATCTTACAGAACAATTCAGTTAACCAACTAAGAATGATGTAACAAGCAATTACATTCTGGCCATAAGCAACAATAATTATAATGAAAGTAACATTTAGTTTTTGGGGTGGTGCACCCTGTTTGCCATTTGAATAAAAAATTCCACCCCGCACCCCTTATTAACACATTAAATGGGGATGGGTAGGCGGTATGGCATAATCGCACTGTTTTTTGGTAAATCAACATGGTTTTCTGTTAGTTTTTTTGACAGAAATAGACCGTGTTTTGGCCAGAATTAATCGTGTTTTTTTCTCAGCCATTTTTCTACGGCTTTTCGAACAGAGATATATTTATACGTTATTACGATATGTGCATTCCGAACTTGAGTTATTTCTTTCCTGAAGTGTTTGGTTCGCGATGATTCCATCATAATTTTACATCAATTGACATAATATTAGGTCTGCAAGTATAATAAGCTGAATAAAAAAACAGGCATACTTAATAATATTTTTTATAAATTTAAAATATTAAATTATAAAAAAAAAACTTTCTACAGCTGCTACTTTGATATTATTTTTCACTATTTTAAAATAAAAAATATTTGACTACAATCATCATCATGATCGTTTGACAAAAATCATTAGACTTAAGTTTCATAACAGATTTACTTTCTTTGATGATAAAATTAAAATTTGTAAACTAAAAAGAGATTTAAATTTAGATAGTGATCACGAGAGTACAAAATCGCATAACAGCTTACAATAAGTCTTTTTGTGGAAGGCAATCTGTATCTAAGACGAAGACATAGATCCCAAGTCTTTCCAATATCACGTAGTTCTGAACACAATGGAAACCAAATTTTATATAGAGGACTATATAATCCAAATAAATGACGTGGTAATGGTCCTATTCCAAGATATTTACAGGATTCAATAATCAGATCTTCAACTACATAACAATCTTCACCCTGAAACACCATAGGCTTTTCTTGGGTGTAAAATTCAATGTTTACAACAGCCTCCATAATGAACAGCTTAATTTATCAGTCGAAGTCAAGTTGAAATTTTTACAATGTTTTATAAAATTAAATTAGCTATCAGTCACTTCGCAAACTTGCATTGAAACACGAAAAAAGTAAAATTAAAACTAGTTAAATGTTCCATGTTTCAAAGTTTACCATCTTCCTATTACAGATAAATTAAAATTACAAGCTTTTGAATACTGAAATGAATCCAAACACATTATGATATTTTCAGGAATGTAGACAACAATGGAACAAAAAAATAAAGAGAATAATTATTTTAAAATAAAAAATTTGCGAATTTTTATTGTATTGTTGATAATTAAGCAATCCATACGTTTACAACTGCCTGTTTTTGCTACATGGCCACTCCTTTTCAAATAAATTTAATGACTTTTTGAACTCAGATTAACGACAAAGTCAAACAAGTTGACCATAAATCATGGAAAGCTATAAGCACAAATGTTTACTCTTGTGTAAGAAAATTTAAGTTGTTTAGTTATCAACAATGGAAAGGGGATTTTGATGAGTAGTTATTGAGAATTAATTATAAGATGAGTTATTGATAATTGAAAAAATTTTGTAAAATTTATTTGTTGTTATTTTTGGCTAAGTGCTCTTCCGTACCATGATTTTCGTTCTAATATGTCTAGATTATCCACTATTCTTTAGGAAATATCAAAATTAAAAATATTTTTGCCTAACTTTAGAATAAAATTGTTTAAGTCGAAAGGAGCGATTCCAGAAAATCAAGTGCATTTTAAAATCCATATAGAAATGACTAGTCTTATTATGAAAATTACTTACAAAAAATCTACAAAGTTTGTGTTGCAGACTATGCAGTTAAAGATCTTGATTACACGATAGCTACTGTCTGTTTACTGCAAGAAGTTATAAAATTCACATTTCTTTTTCCTAAAGAAAAACAAGACAGAAAGAATAAGAATGAGTAATATTTAGTTGAGAAAGCCAAGGATTTGGAGAAGTGTCATTTAAGTCATTTTCCATAACAATATTTTTCACCCACAACTTAATTATAACTGTCCCAAAAATTTAGTCACTGGTTCGAAGGACCAATAATTAAAAGATGCTACTAGTTCATAATATTTTCATGGTTTGTTCACCTGACTTTATTAAATGTAATTTTAAATAGTTTAAAAAGTAAATTAAAATAAATTATTTCCTCAAAAATAATGCTTTTTTTTTTAAATACAATAACATTTAGAAAATATTTTTGAAAAATCAAGTTTATATGGGAAAAAAAAACTTGATTTTACACAATTCTTGAATAAACAAGCATTTGTGTTGTAAAATAATAGAAATCAAAATATATTGAAAAAATAAAAATTTAATGAATTGAAATTAAGGTCTCAATTATAAACTTATGAAATTAAAGTTAATAAATACGTAAATTGAAATATGTTTTTTTAAACCTGAAAAATGTTTGGAAAAGTGACATATTCAAAAAAAAAAAAAAATTTTAGCAATTTTTTTCATGGCAGCCTGTATTTCCTAACAGGTTTTGTTCGCGAGTCAGACATATTCTGCTCCTCTGAATATAATTAATGACAACAAATATTGAGAATCAAAAAAAAATCTTGAGATTAGACATTTATTGGCGAACACTTTCATTTTCCTTAATCTAAAAAATAATGCAAAATTGTATGAATTTTGTGCTACGAGAGAATTAAAATCAATATTTAGAATGATAATAATTAGCAACTCATAGTTATTACGTGTAATATAAACCAAATAGTTATATGGGTCTTAAAGTATTAAAAATACCATTAGTGAAACCAGTTAATAGTTTCAATAATTTTTGCTAAATTTTTTATACGTCATATATAACATAAATCATAATTATAGTAATATATAAGGCAAGTATTCTGTATGATTTAGTATCTAATGAAATATCTACAATGCAAAAAATAAATTTCCCCTTATTTTTGACAGTTTTCGTCGTATTCTGACAGTTTTTGATGCGCTATGTCAAAAATCCAACTCTGGTGCAAAGTGATGAAAAAGAAAGAAAAAAATTCCCTTTTTAAAAACTTGCAAAATTTTAAACAAGTGAAAAATTTGCTACAAATTAAATTTTAATTTCGGTAAAATGTTATTAAATTAATTATTATTATTTTTTGTAACGTAAGAAAGAGTTCTCGAAATAATATTTTATGCATAAAGTTTTTGAGTTAAAATAATTAGGCTCCAAAGATTGCAAAAATTAGCCAAATAGTCTTATGAATTTTTTTCGGAACATTTATGTATTAACACGTCCCATGTAGTGAAATAGATTTGATTACATAGTTCAAGAATTTTTATTTGAACTACGAGCAAATAACTATGCTCTTTTGTAAATAGAATGAACATCTCTAGGTTACGTGATTTCCCCCCTCAGTTACCATGGTTTCTGCGATCTAGTTTTTCTCATGGCGATACGTTTCAGAAAGAAATTGGTATATACTGATGTAAAAAAAAAGCAAGATCAACTGAACGACTGAGGGGAAAAATGTAAAAGAGAGGGGAAATCGTGTTACCTTGATGCGTCTATTCTACTTACAAAGAGTATTATCATTTGGAATTCGTGAAAATGTAATCAGAAAATTAAAAATTACGTTCTTCAAGTATAATAAAAAAAAAATTTTTCTAGACCTAACAACTAGAAAACGTAGGGTGCATAATTTTTGTTAGTTAATTAAGCTAGTTAAGTTCACAAGTTAAATAAGAAAGTTAAGTGGATTGCTTTTTTTCAAAACACAAACAAAGATAATATAATTTGATAAAAATCAAATAGTTCTAAAATATTACTAAAAAAATAAATAATTTTTGCCAATCTAGGATCAAAAAAACATTGGTGTAAAATGTTTGTCAGTTAATTAGGCTACTTAAGTTAAGAAGTTGATTAAGAAAGTGAAGCGGCCTACGCTTTTTCATCACACAATGAAAGATAATATGGTAATATGACAATCTTCTTGAAAAATGCAATTTTAAATATATATATATATAAACTGCTGTTTGTAGAAAATGCAACACCATGAAGGAATCATCAGAATCAAATGAAATATTATTTTAATAATGGATATAGGATATTATGCAAATTAATAAAGTTTCAGAGCCATCGCGCGTGCGTGGCGCGCGCAGCGCCCTCTGAATTGATGCTGAAAGCGTATAAATAAAGTGCTGTAGCGGGACGTTGAAAATAGTCTATGATTATTTGTTAGTGGCAAACGTTTAGTGAGACCTGAGTATGCCTCCACGACGGAAGAATAAGAAATTCAAGCAACTTACGGAGTTTGAACGAGGGAGGATAATCGGCCTTCGAGAAGGAGGATTTTCCTATCGCGCAATAGCAGCTCGTATGCAGCGGAACAGTTCCACAGTGATGNCGTTACAGGGAATTCAAGAGGAAAATAAAGAGATGTCGAACCGTATTACTTCTACAAATTTAAGTTCAATTACGGATGTTCAGGTACTATGGGATTTAGAATTGTTAGGCATTCGAAATGAAAATGAGATAGCTACTATTGAGGATAAGCATCTAATAAACAAATTCGAAAATAATCTTAAGTTTGTTAATGGCAGGTACGAAACTTCATTATTATGGAAAAGGTCACCTAAGGATCTTGCGAACAATTTTTGGATAGCAAAAAAGAGATTCGATAATTTAAAAACTAATTTTGAGAAGAATGATTGGGTTGCGAGGGAATATAAACTTACGATACAAGAGCAACAAAACAAGGGAATAGTCGAGGAATGTACTAGAGATAATGAGGAATATTTTATGCCTCACAGAGCAGTTGTGCGAAATGATAAAGATACTACTAAAGTGCAAGTTGTTTTTAACTGTAGCTCAAAAACTAAGCAAAATTTATCTTTAAATGATTATTTAGAAATAGGGCCAAATTTAAATCCTAATGTGTTAGACATTATTCTTAAATTTAGAAAATTTAAAGTAGCGTTCAGTGCAGATATAGAAAAGGCTTTTCTCATGATAGGCATCTCTGAAAAGGATAGGAAATTTTTAAAGTTTTTATGGCTTTCAGATAATTCAAGTAATAGCTTTAAAATTTTGCGAATGACTCGCCTTCCTTTCGGTTGTACATCATCTCCGTTTATTCTTAGCGCAACAATTAAAAAGCACATTAAACAGTATCTTGAAAATGCACCTAAATGTGTTGAAATGTTGGACACTTCACTTTATGTGGATGATCTTTATTTTGGTGCTGATGATGTTGAGGAGGCGTTTGATTTATCGACTGAAGCTGTTCATATTTTGGGAGATGCAGGAATGAATTTACGAAAGCTGAATTCTAATTCGGAAGAATTGAAGTCATTGTGGATAGAAAGGGGTTTTAGTGATGTTAGTGAGAGTTCTAGTGGTAGTTTGAAAGTTTTAGGTTTGAATTGGAACCCTATAGGAGATATTCTGTCGTTGGAAATTTCCCCGTTATTGAAAAGTTTAATTAATTCGGCAAATACGAAAAGGTTTGTGTTACACGCTGCTGTAATGGTGTTCGATCCAGTTGGTATTGTTAGTCCTTTCGTTCTTAAGATCAAGTGTCTGTTGCAAGAGATATGGAAAAGAGGTTTAGATTGGGACGAAGAGTTGTCAGTAGATTTAAAAATTAAATGGACTGAATGGTGTGTAGAAGTTAAGCATTTAAAAGACATAGTCATTCCAAAGTATTGTTTTTTGTCATGCGGAAATCCAGGAAGTCGAAGAGTAGAGGTACACATATTTTGTGATGCGTCACTCGTTGCATATGGGACGGTTTCCTATGTTTGGTAAATCAATGATGAGGGGAAAATCATAGTGTCGTTTTTGATGTTCAAGAGTCGTGTTTCCCCCTTGAAAAAGTTAACTTTGCCACGCTTAGAATTAATGGCGACAGTTATAGGAGCTAGACTAGGTAATTATATTAATGGTATTTTTGGGGAAATGGTTTCTGATTATATATATTGGACGGACTCATTCATTGTTTTACATTGGATCAGGGGAAGGGCTGAACGATGGAAGCAATTTGTTTGCAATAGGGTCAGGGAAGTGCAGGAGAAGTCAAATCCAAAATCTTGGCATCATTGCAAAGGTATCGATAATCCTGCTGATTTGCTGACACGTGGATGCAATGCAAGCAAATTGAAAGAAGGAGAGAAATGGTTCCATGGCCCTTCATGGCTGAGACTTGAAGAATCAGAATGGAATAATGATAAAGGTTTCAGCTCTTTGAATAGCGAAAACTTGGACGATGAAATTCTTGTTGAGAAACGAAACAAGCCCGTGAACATCAACATGAATGTTTGCAAGGAAGAAAACCAGCCTGATATTATGAACGACGTAAATAAAATTTCCTCATGGACTAAATTGCGAAGAGTTTTTGCCTGGTGTAGAAGATTTATTCTAAATTGCAAGTTTCCAGCTGCAAAGGCAAGTGGTTGTTTAACAACTGCAGAGATTCAGAGTACTAGAAATTCCCTTGTGAAGATGGTTCAAAAATATGCTTTTGGTACTGAGATGGAATATCTGCAAAAGGAGAAGACACTTCCAAAAAATAGCAATCTGTTGCCTTTGGCACCCTTCCTTGACTCATCCGGACTTCTCCGAGTTGGTGGAAGATTGAAGAATTCCAATCTTTCTGACCGTCGAAAACATCCACTACTTCTCCCAAAGGGTCATCATTTATCAACGATAATTGTGAGATATTTTCATGAAAGCCATCTACATGGAACTATTCAAATGACATTATCAGCATTAACGCAAGAATATTGGATAATTGGAGTAAAGAATCTTGTTAGAAAGATAATTTCCAGGTGTGTAAAATGTCATAGACAAAATGCCAAATTTTTTACCCAATTTATGTCCGATTTACCTTCAGTAAGAGTCACACCTTCTTGAGTTTTCTCTGTTGTTGGAACTGATTACGCTGGACCTTTCCTAGTGAAGCCCAGAAAAGGAAGAGGTGTGAAGACTATGAAATGCTATGTTTGTTTATTTGTGTGTTTATCCACAAAAGCCGTTCACTTAGAACTCGTAAGTGATCTGACTTCTGATGCTTTCCTTGCCACGCTAAGAAGATTTACTTCTCGACGAGGAAAACCTGATCAGATACACAGTGACTGTGGGACGAATTATGTTGGTGCATATAGAGAGTTGAAACGTTTAATGGCATCACTCTCTTCAGATGAAAGATTACAGGGTTATCTTGCAAAGGAAAATATCATTTGGAAATTCAATCCTCCTGCGGCACCTCATCATGGTGGATTGTGGAAATCCACTGTCAAATCTATGAAGTCTCACATTAAAAAAACTGTCGGTGAACAAATCCTCACCTACGAAGAATTCCTAACCCTGATTGCAGAAGTAGAAGCTTGCCTTAATTCTCGACCACTCACTCCTTTGTCTGATGATCCTGCTGATTGTGAGGCATTGACACCTGGTCATTTCCTCATTGGTACTTCACTGACATCAGTGCCTAATTCTGATATTTCAAAGGAAGTGATAACAACTTTACAAGGTTGGAAGTTAATGCGAAGAATGATCAAAGAATTCTGGAAACGATGGTCAACTGACTATCTTTCCACTCTTCAAAGGCGTGCCAAATGGCTCCAAGTAAAGGGAAATCTTGCTGTAAATGAACTAGTGCTAATCAAAGACGATGATTTGCCACCATTGAAGTGGAAGTTGGGACATGTGCTAGAGACCTTTCCAGGAGCAGACGGTAAAATCAGAGTGGTAAGGTTAAAAACTGCAAATGGTGAGTTAAAACGTCCTATTGTTAAACTTTGCCCACTACCAATAATAGACTTCAAACATTGAACTCATACGAACTTTGAACTCTTAATTACAATTTTCTGTGAATTCAAAATTTTTTGATGGTTTAATATTTGTCTTTTAGTACATTTCATTTGATTAATTTTGTTTATTGTTTGATTACGATTCACATATATTTCATATAAGGTTGTTTTAATTTTTGTGTACAGATTCTTAAACTGNCATACGAACTTTGAACTCTTATTACAATTTTCTGTGAATTCAAAATTTTTTGATGGTTTAATATTTATCTTTTAGTACATTTCATTTGATTAATTTTGTTTATTGTTTGATTACGATTCACATATATTTCATATAAGGCAGTTTTAATTTTTGTGTACAGATTCTTAAACTGAAAATTTTCAGTAATTGATTTATTGCTGCATTACTTATGAAATTAAAGTTTGAATGAATGTAATAACATTTTATGAACCTCCTAAGTGTTCATAGTGGGGGAGGACAAGGGCGCCGGCAGAATAATATAAAAGGGGGTGCAACCCTCTAACAAACTACCTTCCCCTCCCCCCGAAAAAAAATTTAAATATTCTGCTATTACATTTTGTTTTGTTATTACATATACTTTCATCTGTTCATTTTTTCAAGATACATTTCTTCATTGTTAGCAAGATATTTAAAAAAAAGTACGAATTTCTTGTACTTTCAAATTTTGCCCAGAGGCGATCGCGCTGGAGCTGGCAGAGCTACTGACTTTGAAGCACAAATAACAACAAACAGTTTGTGCACGCTTATCATTGGTATTTATTGTGTTGATGAAGTTTTACAGTTGCGAGAAGTCAGCTTGTGTTATACACCTTTGTTAAACTGAATAACTAATAGAAAATATAATATTATTTACATTTTATTAAATGAAATTTAAAAATATAGC